CATCCTTTGGCTATAGCACAGTAGGGAAGAAGTTAAGTAGTACATTAGTGAGTAACAGTTCACACAAACATAACTTAGTGAAAGGTGGCTGCTGATTCCAGCTTGACTGTTCAAGCCTTCTATACAGCTGAAGGCAGCTAACTGTATAACTCTGGGTTCAGGCTCAGTAACATATTTCCCTCTGGACCCCAGCCATAAACAGCCCCACTGCTTGCCACCAAATGTGACGGAACCCCGATTGGGTGATTCCATCAGAGAACCGCTTCCTCGCCACTGGGACACAGGACCAAGGTATTATAGCAGGGCATTGCATCCAGCTAGTGTTGCCTAGTCTTGGATGCAATGCCCGGCTATAATACCTTGGTCCTGTGTCCCAGTGGCGAGGAAGCGGTTCTCTGACGGAATCACCCAATCTGGGTGACAGGTGTTCCATCACAGAGTCTATACAGACAATAATCCAAATAAGGCTGCCAGGAGACTGGATGCTTTTGTTAGATCCCTACCTTCCCGTTCTGCCATACTTTGAGAGATACCCAATGTTCAAAGTCAGTCACTTTCTCGTCTGGCAAGTTATTATCCGGACAATATTCTTATCTTGACCAGAAATCAAGGACAACTCCTTCTCCAGATTGATGGACACACTCCAAAGCTTCAGTTGGATCATGAGTCAAATTTCGCTCTCTGGTGCAACAAATTATATGCTTGGGGACCCATTTCAATAATGCCAATGATTTGGTCTCTGTCCCACAGAAGGTAAAAAGCAGCCATCAGGGAGAGTTGTGAGGGCAACTACCTCTCCTCTTCGGTCAGCCTCCTAATGCCTCGGCTTGTTGGGCCGAATGTCGGTCTGTGTTCCAATGATTCCCTGGGCACACTGGCACCTGAAACAATTTCAAACAGGTCTTCTGACTCAGTGGAGGATGTATTGATTGGGGCAGTTAATCAGTGTCTCTCCCTACATGAAGAAGACTCTGTGGTGGTTAAGGAAGGAGTCATTATTAACACCTTCCCACCAGGCCTATAGCAGATTGACAGCCGGGCGGGACGCCGTTGTGACTGGGAGTCATATGACATCCTGTCAAAATGAGCCGCTCACGCGGCCGCGATCTGTCACTGGCTGTGTCCACAGGGACACAGCTGATGACATATCACTACACCGGCCCGTTGTCAGTGCCATGTGAACAATCACAGCAGATCACATGTCAACTGTATACAATAGATGGCTTCCATTCATGCCATCCATTGTATACAACTATGTTGTTAGCTGTGATTGGTCAAAGCAGTCACATGATTTAGCAGGGCCATTCACAGCCCATCTGTATCATGTGACCGCTGTGACCAATCACAGCTGATCACATGTCGATTGTATACAATAGATGGCTTCCTGTCATACCATCCATTGCATACAATTGTGTTGGGGTGTCAGGGACATCTGCCCCCTTAAGCAGTAATGAAGATGTGGCAGGAAATCCCCCCCCACTATTAAAGATCTTCCCAAAGTGTCCAGTAACAAAGGATCTTCTCAATGTGTCCTTCTCAAGTAACAAAGGATCTTCTCAAGCGATAAAGGATGTGTCCAGTAAAAAGGATCTTCTCAAAGTGTCCAGTGATAAAGGATCTTCTCAAAGTGTCCAGCGATAAAGGATCTTCTCAAAGTGTCCAGTAACAAAGGATCTTCTCAAAGTGTCCAGTAACAAAGGATCTTCTCAAAATGTCTCCAAAGGATCTTCTCAAAAAGGATCCATTGTATACAATTGTGTTGTTAGCTGTCAGGTCATAAAGGATCTTCTCAGAGTGTCCAGTAACAAAGGATCTTCTCAAAGTGTCCAGTAACAAAGGATCTTCTCAAAGTGTCTTGTAACAAAGGATCTTCTCAAAGTGTCCAGTGATAAAGAATCTGTGTTCTCTTCTCAAAGTCAAAGTGTTGTAACAATTGGTCAAAGGATCTTCTCAGAGTGTCCAGTAACAAAGGATCTTCAAAGTGTCCAGTGACAGTGTCCAGGAACAAAGTGTCCAGTGAAAAGGATCTTGTCTCAAAGGATCTCTCAAAGTGATAAAGGATCTTCTCAAAGTGTCCAGTGACAAAGGATCTTCTCAAGTGTCCAGTAACAAAGGATCTTCTCAAAGTGTCCAGTGACAAAGGATCTTCTCAAAGTGTCCAGTGACAAAGGATCTCTTCTCAAAGTGTCCAGTGACAAAGGATCTTCTCAAAGTGTCCAGTGATAAAGGATCTTCTCAAAATGTCTTGTAACAAAGGATCTTCTCAAAATGTCCATTGTAATCTTCTCAAAGTTGTTAGCTGTGTTGTTAGCTGTCATTGGTCAAAGGATCTTCTCAGAGTGTCCAGTAATAAAGGATCTTCTCAGAGTGTCCAGCGATAAAGGATCTTCTCAAAGGATCTTCTCAAAGTGTCCAGTGTCCAAAGTGTCCAGCGATAAAGGATCTTCTCAAAGTGTCCAGCCAGCGAAAAGGATCCTTCTCAAAGTGTCCAGCGATAAAGGATCAAAGTGTCTTGTGACAAAGGATCTTCTCAGAGTGTCCAGTAACAAAGGATCTTCTCAAAATGTCCATTGTATACAATTGTGTTGTTAGCTGTCATTGGTCAAAGGATCTTCTCAGAGTGTCCAGTAACAAAGAATCTTCTCAAAATGTCTTGTAACAAAGGATCTTCTCAAAATATCTATTGTATACAATTGTGTTGTTAGCTGTCATTGGTCAAAGGATCTTCTCAGAGTGTCCAGTAACAAAGGATCTTCTCAGAGTGTCCAGTAACAAAGGATCTTCTCAAAGAGTCCAGTAACAAAAGATCTTCTCAAAATGTCTTGTAACAAAGGATCTTCTCAAAATATCCATTGCATACAATTGTGTTGTTAGCTGTCATTGGTCAAAGCAGTCACATGGAATAGACAGGGCCAATCACAGCCCATCTGTATCATGTGATCAGCTTTGCCCACTCACAGCTAATTACAACAAAAGACTGAATGAATCAGTTTCATTCAGTAACAATGATTGCAAATATCAATGAAATACATTGGTATTATCAATCATAATGTGTTAAAAAAAAAAAAAAAGAAAAATCCTGAGCACTTGTCCAGAGTAGTTCTATGTTACTACGGTAACATTGTATTGCTTTGGTCACAGTGTACTGAAAAATAAAATAAAAAATAAAAAAATAATAGAAAAAATAAAAAAAAATACAAATTATTATTATTATTATACAGGATTTATATAGCACCAACAGTTTGCTCAGCGCTTTACAACATGAAGGCAGACATTACAGTTACAATACAATTTGATACAAGAGAAAACAGAGGGCCCGGCTCCTCAGAGCTTACAATCTAGGAGATTAAATTATTATTTTTATTATTTTCACCAAGAAATGTAGCAGAATACATTTTTTATCTAAATTTATGAAGAAATGTTATTTATTTGCAAAATTTAATAACAGAAACAAAGAAAAGAGTGTTTTTTTTTCAAAAAGTTCAGGTTTTATTTGGTAAAAAAATAAAAAAAACTCAGTGATGATTACATACCACCAAAAGAAAGCTCTATTTGTGTGAAAAAAATGATACAAATTTTTCATATGGGTACCGTGTTGCATGACCGCGCAATTGTCAAAGTGTGACAGCGCTGAAAGCTGAGAATTGGCCTGGGCAGGAAGGGGGTGACAGTGCCCGGTATTGAAGGGGTAAATTGGACCACAGTTATACAAATGAGAACAAGTAGGTGCTATGCCCAGAGATAATCCCCACAGAGGCGCAATGTCGGTGCTCTGGCTCTGTGTGTCTTCCCAGCGCAGATTCAATGGAATGATGAGGATTGGTATAGCCTGCACTCGTCTTCCCGAATAATAAACTTTATTGAGCAAATAAAACGTGCATATAAAATGGCTACGCGTTTCAGCAATAAGCCTTAGCCATGAGTTATAGAGATGTCAGAAGGAGAAGCGGAGTCCAGGGGAAGTGGAATTTTCCCACGAAAGGTGTAGTCTCTTGGAGATTCAAGCAGCTTTTTTGGCCCTAACATCTCTGTTGTAGAAGATCGACCAGAAACCAAAGAAAGCATGTGATCAGCATAGGGCCAATCAGAAATATTCAGAAGTGGTCAGGGGTTCTGCATCCTCCTAGAGCAGAAAGAGAACTCCTCCTAAAAGCTTTAACATGTGCTTGGCTGGACACTGATAGATGTCACAAGACTGCTATATACTGCTGATGAGAAAAGGTATTTATGTTTACTAACCTAATTGTACTTCCATACTCTGTACTATGGGAGAGCAGATATAGTGAATGCGGGGTCCAGGGAAAACCAGATATAGTGAATGCAGGGTCCGGGGAGAGTGGATTTAGTGAATGCAGGGTCCGGGGAGAGCGGATTTAGTGAATGCAGGGTCTGGGGAGACCAGATATAGTGAATGCAGGGTCTGGGGAGAGCGGATATAAGGAATGCAGGGTCCAGGGAGAGCGGATATAGTGAATGCAGGGTCGGGGAGACCGATATAGTGAATGCGGGGTCTGGGGAGACCGGATATAGTGAATGCGGGGTCTGGGGAGACCGGATATAGTGAATGCAGGGTCTGGGGAGAGCGGATATAGTGAATGCGGGGTCCGGGGAGAGCGGATATAGTAAATGCGGGGTCCGGGGAGAACGAATATAGTGAATGCGGGGTCCGGGGAGACCAGATATAGTGAATGCGGGGTCTGGGGAGACCAGATATAGTGAATGCGGGGTCCGGGGAGAGCGGATATAGTGAATGCAGGGTCCGGGGAGACCGGATATAGTGAATGCGGGGTCTGGGGAGACCGGATATAGTGAATGCGGGGTCTGGGGAGACCGGATATAGTGAATGCGGGGTCTGGGGAGAGCGGATATAGTGAATGCGGGGTCCGGGGAGAGCGGATATAGTAAATGCGGGGTCTGGGGAGAACGAATATAGTGAATGCGGGGTCCGGGGAGACCGGATATAGTGAATGCGGGGTCCGGGGGAGAGTGGATATAGTGAATGCGGGGTCTGGGGAGACCAGATATAGTGAATGCAGGGTCCGGGGAGAGCGGATATAGTGAATGCAGGGTCCGGGGAGACCGGATATAGTGAATGCGGGGTCTGGGGAGACCAGATATAGTGAATGCAGGGTCTGGGGAGAGCGGATATAGTGAATGCAGGGTCTGGGGAGACCAGATATAGTGAATGCAGGGTCTGGGGAAAGGGTCTCCGGGGAGACCAGATATAGTGAATGTGGGGTCCGGGGAGGCGGATCCGGGGAGAGCGGATATAGTGAATGCGGGGTCTGGGGGAGAGCGGATATAGTGAATGCGGGGTCCAGGGAGAGCGGATATAGTGAATGCGGGGTCCGGGGAGAGTGCACATAGTGAATGCGGGGTCCGGGGAGACCGGATATAGTGAATGCGGGGTCCGGGGAGAGTGGATATAGTGAATGCGGGGTCCGGGGAGAGTGCATATAGTGAATGCGGGGTCCGGGGAGAGACCAGATATAGTGAATGCAGGGTCCGGGGAGACCGGATATAGTGAATGCAGGGTCCGGGGAGACCGGATATAGTGAATGCAGGGTCCGGGGAGAGCGGATATAGTGAATGCGGGGTCCAGGGAGACCGGATATAGTGAATGCGGGGTCTGGGGAGAGCGGATATAGTGAATGCGGGGTCCGGGGAGAGTGGATATAGTGAATGCGGGGTCTGGGGAGAGCGGATATAGTGAATGCAGGGTCCGGGGAGAGCGGATATAGTGAATGCGGGGTCCGGGGAGAGCGGATACAGTGAATGCGGGGTCCGGGGGAGAGCGGATATAGTGAATGCGGGGTCCGGGGAGAGTGGATATAGTGAATGCGGGGTCCGGGGAGACCAGATATAGTGAATATGGGGGATGTGGGGAGAGCGGATATAGTGAATGCAGGGTGTGGGGAGACCGGATATAGTGAATGCAGGGTGTGCGGAGACCGGATATAGTGAATGCGGGGTCCAGGGAGAGCGGATATAGTGAATGCAGGGTCCTGGGAGAGCGGATATAGTGAATGCGGGGTCGGGGAGAGCGGATATAGTGAATGCAGGGGTCCTGGGAGAGCGGATATAGTGAATGCGGGGTCCGGGGAGAGCGGATACAGTGAATGCGGGGTCCGGGGAGAGCGGATATAGTGAATGCCGGGTCCGGGGTTTAGTAACACTTTAAATGCATGTGTTTGATTTCGGCTGTTTATACAAAACCATGCTTGATGGAAGAAACAAAAAGATCTATTTGTAAAATATTGGTTGGACAATGGTGACAAGAATTTGTCCAGCTGTGACAAATTCTGTTCGTATTTAAATAAACAGTAATTTACTATGATCATAGACTTCATCTATTAGCTCTATTGCAATCTTAATATTGCAGTGCTGCATTAGTACCACTAGATGGTGCTAATAATCATAGGAAATCACTGCATGAAATAAAGTATGGCCAGTATTCATTCAACTAATCTTTTAAACTTGGGTATGTTAGGTTTATGAAAGAGAGAAAGACTGATATCCTGATAATCTCAGCTGATTTCTCACCTCTCAAGTGTGAAATCTCCCACCACAAAATGTACTCAGCCAATGAAAGGTGATGACTCCATTTTTATTTTTCTTCTGCTATCAATGGTCAACCCGGTCCCACACTTCATCCATGTCTTTGGTGACCTCTGATCTCCTTATGAACTGTTTCTTCCATGATGAAGATCAGCCATGGAGTATATCTGAGGTGTATATCAGGGTGTGCTTCTTCCCCACATGAGAGCTGGGATGTCCAGCAACATTCATCTAGAAGACATTTCCCACACTCAAGGCACTAATACACCTCCAGGGTTGTGTGGGACCCCTGATGTACAGGAAGACAGGACTTCAGTGAGGAACATTTCCCTCACTCAGGACAGGAATACAGCTTCTCTCCCATGTGCAATCTCTGATGTATGGAAAGGCTTGATTTATCTGAAAAACATTTCCCACACTCAGGACAGGAATACGTCTTTTCCCCGTGTGAGATCTCTGATGTATGGAAAGATAGAACTTCTTTTTCTAACACTCAGTACAAGAATATGGCTTCTCCTCAAGTGTGAGATCTCTGATGTCTGTAAAGATGTGACTTCTGTGAAAAACATCTCCTGCACTCTGGACAAGAGTATGGCTTTTCCCCCGTGTGAGATCTCTGATGTGTGACAAGATCTGATTTTTGAACAAAACATTTCCCGCACTCAGAACAGGAATATGGCTTCTCTCCTGTGTGCAATCTCTGATGTCTATAAAGAGAGTACTTGTCTGAAAACCACCTCCCGCACTCAGGGCAATTATATGGCTTTCCCCGTGTGTGAGACCTTTGATGTTTGATAGGTGAATTTTGTACAAAGTATTTCCTGCACTCAAAACAGGTCGATGGCTTCTCAATCTCTGATGAATAGAAAGACTGGAATTCCCGCATTCAGGACAGGAATATGGATTTTCCCCTGTGTGCAATCTCTTATGTCTGTAAAGATTGGACATGTCTGAAAAACATTTCCCGCACTCAGTACAGGAATACGGCTTTTCCCCTGTGTGGGACCTATGGTGTTTCTCAAGTTGTGATTTTTGCAGAAAACATTTCCCGCACTCAGGACAGGAATACGGCTTCTCCCCCCTGTGCAATTTCTGATGTATGTGAAGACTGGACTTCTTTGAAAAACTTTTCCCGCACTCAGAACAAGAATGTGGCTTCTCCCCCGTGTGAGATCTTATATGCAAATTAAGTTGGGATTTAAAATGGAAACCCTTCCCGCACTCAGTACAGGAGAAGCTCTTCCCTGTTGGAAGGCCGGCCCGGTCCCGCACAGTCTGAGGTTCCTCAGGATACGAGGAATCCGATGGTCCATCTACACTGGGTGGTGCCGGATGGACATTGGAGGGAGCCGGGTTTTCTCCTGGACTATACTGTGTGATGTCCTCATCTTCTACTTTCCAGTCTGGAGACAAAGTGAGACAATCCTCGGAGGTTTTCCTCATCTCCCGGCCATGGACTAAAATACAAAGACAAAGAGGATTACTAGACAGGAGCTGATTGGTTCCCCCAAACCAGGACTCCACCCACATCAGGCAGCTTGGTCTCTGAGGAGCCTACAATTCCACCCTCAAGGGAACTAGGAAATGGCTCCTCTGATCTCCTACCAGGTCATTTCTTTATTCATGGACCTTAGTCAGAGAGTGAGGAAACAACCAGAACTGTCTTTTATAGGAGGGACAGTGATGAGGGGATTATAGGACGAGGGTCCCCACCCCCTCTATCACTCATCGCCATCTTCCCAACACAAGAAGTACTGCACTTTCGTATTTAGTCCATGATTTAGTCATGAAGAACAGCGGGGCTGAGCCCCACCAGAGGTCAGAGAGTGAGGATGGGGGGAGAACAACCAAGATGAAGACTGGACTGATCCTGAAGACCACCATCATTGGGGTATTGGCTCCTCCCTCATTATCACTTTCTGTTTAAGGGTCCAAGGTTGGAGGATGTTATCACATTATTATCACCATGTAAAAGTCTGTGCTCCAATCACATCATCCGATATAAAATGTCCAGCTGGGAGGAAATGGGTGCAACAAAACAGAATCATATTATGTGTATATATAGCAGTGGGGGAGGGTGGAGAGCAGAAGTCAGGACTATGGAATGTACAACATATATATAGTATATAATGTACAATATAGAGTAGGGGGGTCAGAAGTATGTCAGGAGTATGTAATGTACAACATAGAGTATATATAGTGTGCAGGGGTCAGGAGTAGTATGTAATGTACAACATAGAGTATATAGTATAGTGCAGGGGTCAGGAGTCACAACATAGAGTATGTAATGTAATGTACAATATAGAGTATATAGTGCAGGGGTCAGGAGTATGTAATGTACAACATAGAGTATATAGTGCAGGGGTCAGGAGTATGTAATGTACAACATAGAGTATATAGAGTATATAGTGCAGGGGTCAGGAGTATGTAATGTACAATATAGAGTATATAGTGCAGGGGTCAGAAGTATGTAATGTACAACATAGAGTATAGAGTATATATAGTGCAGGGGTCAGGAGTATGTAATGTACAACATAGAGTATAGTAGTAGGTATGGTAGTAATGTACAACAGGGTGCAGGGGTCAGGAGTATGTAATGTACAACAGGGGTCAGAGTATGTAATGTACAACATAGTATATAGTGCAGGGGTCAGGAGTATGTAATGTACAACATAGAGTATATAGTGCAGGGGTCAGGAGTATGTAATGTACAACATAGAGTATATAGTGCAGGGGTCAGGAGTATGTAATGTACAACATAGTATATAGTGCAGGGGTCAGGAGTATAATGTACAACATAGAGTATATAGTGCAGGGGTCAGGAGTATGTAATGTACAACATAGAGTATATAGTGCAGGGGTCAGGAGTATGTAATGTACAACATAGAGTATATGCAGGGGTCAGAGTATGTAATGTAAACAGAGTATATAGTGCAGGGGTCAGGAGTATGAATGTAAACATAGTACAACAGGAGTATGAGTACAACATAGAGTATATAGTGCAGGGGTCAGGAGTATGTAATGTACAACATAGAGTATATAGTGCAGGGGTCAGGAGTATGTAATGTACAACATAGAGTTATAGTGCAGGGGTCAGGAGTATGGAATGTACAACATAGAGCATATAGTGCAGGGGTCAGGAGTATGTAATGTACAATATAAATTATACAGTGTAAGGATCAGGACTCATAATATTGGTATTCAGTAATCAGTGGAAGATTAAATGTTTACTGTAGACAAGTTGCAGAGATCCCACACCGCTGCCTCCCATCTCCTGAGACTGCACTCAGTGACTTGGGTCTGAGACCATACAGCAGGGTGGTGAACCTACCAAAGTGAAATTTAATGACAGGTAAAAAGTTAGCCAAAAAATGATTTTCAAATATCAATATTTAAGCTACAGACAAGTAGATAGTGTGATTATCAATGAGCTTAAATTATAGCAAAAGGCAAAAAACATATTTCTCTTTTTACATGAAGGTCAGGTTAATATAATCCACCAGACAGTTCCCCCTTACATCAAAGTTTGCAAGGTTCCCCTTTACAGTGCAAAGGGGAACTCTGCGGACTCTGATGTAAAAGGCAACACCATGGACTCCAAACTAAAGGAAAAATCTGTGAGGTCTGATGTAAGGGGGAATGCTGTACACTGGTTACCAGAGCCCCTTTACACAAGAGTCCACAGAGCAACCCTGTACATCACAGTCCTCAGAGTTCTCCCTTACATTAGAGTCCACAGAGTACCCCTTTACATCAAAGATTCTGTCTACATCAAGTTCAGCAGAGTTCTCCTTTGCACTGTAAGGTGGAAACCTGCAGATTCTGATGTAAAAGGGAACACTGAGGACACTGATTTAGGGGTAATGCCAGGAACTCTAATGAGGTGGGGACTCTGGTAACCACAGACCACCTTCTGCAGAGTGAATACAGTAAGGTAAGGGGGGGGTACTGGTATAAGAGGGAACTTTTATGTCAGTGTCTCCCCTTATCTTAGTGTATTCACAAAGACTGTGTGGTGACTGGCATGGCTGGAGTAATGTCACACTGACATCCTCCATAAGGATGCTTGCTTGCTCGGGTGACTGCCCGGAGTCATACAGTTGCAAGAAAAAGTATGTGAACCCCTTGTGATTACGTGGAGTTTTGCATGAATTGGGCATAAAATGTGCTCTGAACGTCATCTAAGTCACAACAATAGAAGAACACAGTCTGCTGAACATAATACTACACAAACATTAGATGTTGCCATGGTTTAATTGCAAATAACATGTAAACATTCACAGTGCAGGGAGGAAAAAGTATGTGAACCTTTGGACTTAATAACTGGTTGACCCTCCTTTGGCAGCAATAACCTCAACCAAACGTTTCCTGTAGTTGCAGATCAGACCTGCACAACGATCTGGAGTCATTTTGGACCACTCCTCTTCACAAAACTGTTTCAGTGTAGCAATATTCTTGGGATGTCTGGTGTGAATCGCTCTCTTAAGGTCATGCCACAGCATTTCAATGGGGTTGAGGTCAGGACTCTGACTGGGCCACTCCAGAAGGCGTATTCTGTGCTGTTGCAGCCATTGTTTTGTTGAATTACTTGTATGCTTTGGGTCATTGTCCTGTTGCATCACCCATCCTCTGCGGAGCTTCAGTTGGCGGACAGATGGTCATACGTTTTCCTGCGAAAAGTCTTGATAAACTCTGGAATTCATTTTCCCATCAATGACAACAATCCGTCCAGGGCCTGAGGCAGCAAAGCAGCCCCAAACCATGATGCTCCCTCCGCCATGTTTCACAGTGGGGATGAGGTTTTGATGTTGGTGTGCTGAGCCTTTTTTTCTCCACACATAGTGTTGTGTGTTCTTCCCAAACAACTCAATCTTGGTTTCATCTGTCCACAGTATATTTTGCCAGTAGTGCTGTGGAACATCCAGGTGCTCTTTTGCAAACTTCAAACGTGCTGCAATCTTCTTTTTGGACAGCAATGGCTTCCTCCGTGGTGTCCTCCCATGTACTCCATTCTTGTTTAATGTTTTCCTTATTGTAGATGTGTCAACAAAAATGTTAGCATGTGCCAGAGATTTCTGTAGGTCTTTAGCTGACACTCTGGGATTCTTCTTTACCTCATGCAGCATTCTGCGCTGTGCTCTTGCAGTCATTTTTACAGGATGACCACGCCTAGGGAGAGTAGCAACAGTGCTAAACTTTCTCCATTTGTAGACAGTCTGTCTTACCGTGGACACATGAACATCAAGGCTCAAGGAGATACTTTTGTAACCCTTTCCAGCTTCATGCAAGTCAACAATTCTTGATGGTAGGTCTTCTGAGAGCTCTTTTCTGCAAGGCATGGTTCACATCAGACAGTGCTTCTTGAAACCAGTAAATCCAAAACAGGTGTCAGCAACACATCCAATATCATCACACTGATTGGAGTCAAGGTTGGCTCACTCCTGGCTCCAATTAGCTCTGGGAGAAGTCAGTAAACGAGAGCCTCACATACTTTTTCCTCCCTGCACTGTGAATGTTTACATGTTATGTGCAATGAAACCATGGCAACATCTAATGTTTGTGTAGTATTATGTTCAGCAGACTGTGTTCTTCTATTGTTGTGACTTAGATGACGTTCAGAGCACATTTTATGCCCAATTCATGCAAAACGCCACGTAATCCCAAGGGGTTCACATACTTTTTCTTGCAACTGTATATCATATATGGTGGGAATGTTCAAAAATACAAATATTTTGGCAGAATTAGTTCATTTAGTAGGGAAGATTACTGAAATTAATATTAGATCCAGAGTTATGTCTTTTCCATAATACAGAGCTTCCAGTGAAATTATATAAGGATTCGGGGATGTGGCATTTGTTAAGCGCAGCGAAGAGCTTGATACCCAGGTTTTGGAAAAAAAAAAAAAAGAAGTACCGACAGAGGAGGATTGGATGGTTAGAGTGAATCAGATTTGTGGGACGGAAAGACTTTATTATATGCATATAGATAAGATGGAGTTTATTATATAAAATGGGAAGATCATAGAGAGAAGGTGAAATATATGAAGATGTAATACCCCATTAGATGGATTTCAGATATATTTTGAATGTTTTATATAGTGTAAAATAAGTATAAATCAGCACACGTATATATATAAAATCCTCAAAAATCCCTTAAAGTCATATCAATATCCTTCCCCTGAAGTACTAATAAAATATATATTCATTGACTTAAACCCAAAAACCCACAGATCCTTGTTGACAAAGTCCGGAAGAGACGAAACGCGTCCAGGGCACGTGACATTCCCGGAAGTGCTGCGGCAGCCATTTTGGATTCTGGAATCCCTGTGTGTTGGAGGTCTGGAGAGTAACGGTGCACTTCAGGTGTCCCCCAGAGCTACAAAGTGATAGTGCTGGATAGGAGTAGCAAGGAGGAATTATCTGGTGATCGGGAGACCCTCTACACACGGAAAGGGGATCGCATACTGGGCATGAGGAGTTGGATGCTGTCTTGCTGATCTTATCGTTTTTATATGTAAGTGGCTACAATAAATGTTATATATGATTATAATTCACATACTGATTCCTGGTCTGTTTGTGAGGTCCTGAGGGAACAAGAGGATACCAATCTAAGGACACTCTGTACATATGTGGTTGATTACAAGCTGGAATCTTTTGTTTTAGGGTAATTATGCACTTTATATATAGTTTGCAGTGATATTTATAAAATTTAAATTTTTTTTTTTTTTTTCTCTCACATGAGTGCTGTGACACTGGAGTGTTTTTTTTGCATGATACACGTGTGGCACTTTAGTTCTGGGATTTAAAAGGTAATATACTATGTTGAGATTTTGTTTTTGAGGTATTTGAAGAGCACCTGTGATTGATTTGCATCTTCTTCAGTGGAGTAGGAAGCGTCTTCCTATCAAGAAATTGATCTTTGTTTGGACACATTATTTGGACACTTTGCATATTGGGACTTTATTTATTTTTGTTCTTTTATATATATTTGATATTTTTTGGGTAATCTCTTTGGGTTTTGATCTTTTCACTATAATTGTGGGTTTTTGGGTTTAAGTCAATGAATATATATTTTATATAGTGTAGAAGAGGGAAAACGCAGAGTGATTGGGGGGGGGGGGGGGGGGAGGGGAGGGAGGATGGGATGCGGGGGGGAAATAAAGATTTTTTTTATCAGGTAGATAATTATGGTAGCAGAAAGATATTGTTTTGATGTCTTTTTAATTGGAGAAAGTGACTGTAATTTGTATTTGGTTGAAAAAATTATTAATAAATATTTATTAAAAAAAAAAAAAAAAAAAGAATAGAGATGGTACTTAACCATTAGCCGTCCGGCCAATAGCCATTTGGCGGGCAGAAAAATGCTTCAGATTTCCGGGTGGACACTATATGGCGTACTCCCGGGCATGCGCAGTTTGCGCGCTTGCAGAGCGATCTGTCACTGGCCGTGTACCTCAGACACGACCGATGACAGATCTGAGTATCGGCCCCGTTGCCGGTGCCATGTGACCTGCTGTGACCAATCACAGCAGGTCACATGACAGTTGTATACAATGGATGGCTTCATTCATGCCATTCATTGTATACTAGTGTCTAGATGTGAATGGTCACAGCTAATCATATGCACATGTCATGTGATTAGTTGTGGCCAAAATCACAGCTAAGCACAAAAAAAAAACTGAATGAATCGATGTCATTCAGGAAAATGATTGCTTATAGCAAAGTAATTCTTTGCTATAAGCAAATGGTGTAAAAAAGAAAATACTACTTTGGACATAGTGAAATATGAAAAAAAAAAAATAAAAAAAAAGAAAAAAATATGTAATAAAAAATTAAAAATAATAATTAAAAAAAAAAAAAATTATTTTCATACTGTCACCAGTCAGTGTCCCTGATCACTGCCATGCCAGTTATATGACGACGCTGTACTGCGCTGGTGACAATATGTAAAAAAAAAAACAGTGAAAATTATTATTTTAATTTTTTCATTTTCCGAATAATTCTGACAAAAAAAATACAACTTCAAAAAACTCGCCATGCCTCTTATGAAGTACGTCGGACTGTCTACTTTACAAAAAGGGGTCATGTGGGGGATATCTGTACCGTCCTGACATTTGGGGGATATCTGTACTGTCCTGACATTTGGGGGATATCTGTACTGTCCTGACATTTGGGGGATATCTGTACCGTCCTGACATTTGGGGGATATCTGTACCGTCCTGACATTTGGGGGATATCTGTACTGTTCTGACATTTGGGGGATATCTGTACCGTCCTGACATTTGGGGGATATCTGTTCCTGTCCTGACATTTGGGGGATATCTGTACCGTCCTGACATTTGGGGGATATCTGTACTGTCTGACATTTGGGGGATATCTGTACCGTCCTGACATTTGGGGGATATCTGTCCTGTCCTGACATTTGGGGGATATCTGTACCGTCCTGACATTTGGGGGATATCTGTACTGTCCTGACATTTGGGGGATATCTGTACCGTCCTGACATTTGGGGGATATCTGTACCGTCCTGACATTTGGGGGATATCTGTACCGTCCTGACATTTGGGGGATATCTGTCCCGTCCTGACATTTGGGGGATATCTGTACCGTGCTGACATTTGGGGGATATCTGTACCGTCCTGACATTTGGGGGATATCTGTCCCGTCCTGACATTTGGGGGATATCTGTACCGTCCTGACATTTGGGGGATATCTGTCCCGTCCTGACATTTGGGGGATATCTGTCCCGTCCTGACATTTGGGGGATATCTGTCCCGTCCTGACATTTGGGGGATATCTGTACCGTGCTGACATTTGGGGGATATCTGTACCGTCCTGACATTTGGGGGATATCTGTACTGTTCTGACATTTGGGGGATATCTGTACCGTCCTGACATTTGGGGGATATCTGTACTGTTCTGACATTTGGGGGATATCTGTACCGTCCTGACATTTGGGGGATCTGTACTGTTCTGACATTTGGGGGATATCTGTACCGTCCTGACATTTGGGGGATATCTGTACTGTCCTGACATTCTTGGACCTCAAGAAATTAGATTGGCTGTCAGTACTTCAGGATTGATCAATATTCAGATCTATACCATAGTTTGTGAACTCTATAACTTTCCTACAAACTAAATAATACATCCTAATTTGGGTTATTGTCACCAAAGACATGTAGCAGAATACATCGCGGCCTAAATTTATGAAGAACAATTATTTATTTGCAAACTTTTATAACAGAAACAAAGAAAAACTTGTTTTTTTTTTCAAAATGTTTGGTCTTTTTTTGTTATTTAGCAAAAAATAAAAACCCCGGCGGTGATTAAATACCACCAAAAGAAAGCTCTAGTTGTGTGAAGAAAATGATAAAATGTTAGTTTGGGTACAATGTTGTATGACCGCGCAATTGTCATACCAAGTGTGAGAGCGCTGAAACGTGAAAATTGGCCTAAGCAGGAAGGGGGTAAAAGTGCCCGGTATGGAAATGGTTAAAGCCATGGGAATTTATCAAGTGGCCAAGGGAGGAGGTGTAGATGGAGAAGAGAAGGGGTCCAAGGACAGAACCTTGAGGGACCCTTACAGAAAGAGGGAGTGAAGAGGAGGAGGCAGCGTTATAGGTAACACTGAAGGAGCGCTGCGATAGGAAGGAGGAGAACAAGGAGAGAGCAGAGTCTCTGAGGCCAAGAGAGTAGAGTTTTTTGAGAAGGAGGGGGTGGTCAACCGTATCAAAAGCCACAGAGATGTTAGGTAGTAAGAGTCCGGAGTAGTAACCATTGGTTGGGATTAGTATGGAGTAGTGGCCATTGGTTGGGATGAGTATGGAGTAGTGACCATTGGTTGGGATGAGTACGGAGTAGTGGCCAGTGGCCATTGGTTGGGATTAGTACGAGTAGTAGTGGCCATTGGTTGGGATGAGTACGGAGTAGTGGCCATTGGTTGGGATTAGTACGGAGTAGTGGTCATTGGTTGGGAAGAATATGAAGTAGTGGCCATTGGATGGGATGAGTATGAAGTAGTGGCCATTGGTTGGGATGAGTACGGAGTAGTGGCCATTGGTTGGGATGAGTACGGAGTAGTGGCCATTGGTTGGGATGAGTACGGAGTAGTGGCCATTGGTTGGGATGAGTACGGAGTAGTGGCCATTGGTTGGGATGAGTACGGAGTAGTGGCCATTGGTTGGGATGAGTACGGAGTAGTGGCCATTGGTTGGGATGAGTACGGAGTAGTGGCCATTGGTTGGGATGAGTACGGAGTAGTGGCCATTGGTTGGGATGAGTACAGAGTAGTGGCCATTGGTTGGGATGAGTACGAGTAGTGGCCATTGGTTGGGATGAGTACGGAGTAGTGGCCATTGGTTGGGATGAGTACGGAGTAGTGGCCATTGGTTGGGATGAGTACGGAGTAGTGGCCATTGGTTGGGATGAGTACGGAGTAGTGGCCATTGGTTGGGATGAGTACGGAGTAGCGGCCATTGGTTGGGATGAGTATGGAGTAGTGGCCATTGGTTTTAGCAGTTAGTAGATCATTAGTGAGGTTTAGTAGGGCTGTGTCAGTGGAGTGTAGTGAGTGAAAGCCAGACTGTAAAGGGTGAAGAAGGTTGTTGTCGGTGAGGTGGGAGATCAGACGATTGCAGACTAAGCATTCTAGGAGTTTAGAGGGAAATGGCAGCAGGGAGATGGGTCTTAAGTAGTTCAGGTTGGTGGCGTCCAGGGAGGGCTTATTAAGTATGGGAGTGATGTGCGCATGCTTTAGAGGGGAGGGGAAGGCACCAGTAGAGAGGGAAAGATTGAAGATGTGAGTGAGGGAGCATAGGATGGAAGAAGACGGTGACCATAGTTGTTGTGAGGGGACAGGATCCAGGGGGCAGGTAGTGATACGGGCTTCTGAGAAAACCTTAGTGACCTCTTCGGTAGTAGAAGGTCAGAAGAGGAAAGTGTTGAGGGAGGTTTAGTATAAGGTATGCTAAGTGGGATGGATGTCTGTGCAGTGGAGATGCCCCTACGAATTGCATCAATCTTGTTTTTGAAATTATTATTATTATTATACAGTATTTATATAGCGCCAAAGGGTATGCTCAGCGCTGTACTGTAGCAGGGGGACATAACATGAGACAAGACAGTAACAATACATGAGGGGTGCGAGGGCCCTGCTCTTTCAAGCTTACAATCTAGGAGGGAGGGGAAGGTGGTACAGGAGGAGATGGCTGTGGGGGATGGAGTGGTGGGTGGAGTGGAGGAGGTTAATTGTTAGGTGAGGTTGGGTGTTAGGTGAGGTTGGGGTAGGCTTCCCTGAAGAGGAGGGTTTTCAGGGTGCGCCTGAAGGTGAGGAGGGTAGGTGACAGTCTGATGGATTGGGGTAGGGAGTTCCAGAGGATGGGGGAAGTCCTGGAGAAGTCCTGCAATTGGGCATGGGAGGAGGAGACCAGGGAGCTAGAGAGTAGGCGGTCCTGTGAGGAGTGGAGGGCATGGGTAGAGTAGTATCTTGGTATCAGGTCAGTTATGTAGTTTGGGGCGGCATTGTGAATGGCTTTGTAGGTCAGAGTGTGTAGTTTGAATTTGATGCGTTGGGCAATCGGGAGCCAATGAAGGGATTGGCAGAGGGGGGGAGGCAGATGTGGAGCGGTTTGGTGAGGTGGATGAGTCTGGCCACAGAGTTTAGGATTGACTGGAGTGGGTATATAGCGTTTGTTTGGGTAGGCCAGTGAGAAGGGAGTTGCAGTAGTCCAGGTGTGATATGATCAGGGAGGCCAGTGAGAAGGGAGTTGCAGTAGTCCAGGCGTGAGATGATCAGGGAGGCCAGTGAGAAGGGAGTTGCAGTTGCAGTAGTCCAGGCGTGAGATGATGAGGGAGGCCAGTGAGGAGGGAGTTGCAGTAGTCCAGGCGTGAGTTGATGAGGGAGTGTATGAGTTGTTTGGTGGTGTCTGGGGTGAGGAATGTGCGTATCTTGGAGATGTTTCAGGAGGTGGAGCCTGCAAGATCTAGATAGCAGTTGGATGTGGGGTAGGAAGGAGAGGTGGGAGTCCAGGGTGACACCCAGGTCTTTGGCGTGTGTGGTGGGAGAGATGGTGGCGTTGTTAGTAGTGATGGAGAGGATGGGGGGGCATGGGGAGGGGGGAAGACCAGGAGCTCGGTTTTTGGATAGGTTAAGTTTGAGGAAATGGAGCGACATCCAGTCTGATATGTCGTTTAGGAGGTAGGCGATGCGGGCAGAAAGTGAGGGGGTGAGGTGGGGGGTGGGGGTGGAGAGGTACATTTGGGTGTCGTCGACATAGAGGTGGTAATTGAAGCCGCGGGAGTGAATAAGTTTGCCAAGGGAGGAGGTGTAGATGGATAAGAGGAGGGGCCCGAGGACAGAGCCTTGGGGGACCCCAACAGAGAGGGGGAGTGAGAGAGGAGGTGGCAGTGTTGTAGGAAACGCTGAAGGAGCGTTGGGAAAGGTAGGAGGTGAACCAGGAGAGAGCAGCGTCCTTGATGCCAAGGGAGTTCAGTTTGGCAAGGAGGAGAGGGTGGTCAACTGTGTTGAAGGCCGCAGAGAGGTTGAGGAGCAGGAGGATAGAATAGTGGCCATTGGCTTTGGCGGTTAGCAGGTCATTGGTGATTTTAAGTAGGGCGGTTTTGGTGGAGTGCAGGGGACGGAAGCCAGACTGTAGGGGGTCAAGGAAGTTGTTATCAGTGAGGTGGGTGCTTAGGCGATTGTAGACCAGGCACTCAAGGAGCTTGGAAGTGAAGGGCAACAAGGAGATGGGTCTAAGGTTGTTAAGGTTAGTGGGGTCAAGGGAGGGCTTTTTGAGTATGGGGGTGATGTGCGCATGCTTTAGAGGGGAGGGGAAGGTGCCTGTGGAGAGGGAGAGATTGAAGATGTGGGTGAGGGAGCGGATGATGGAGGGGGGGTGACTGGAGGAGCTGTGAGGGGATAGGGTCCAGGGGGCAGGTGGTGAGGCGGGCTTCAGTGAAGACCTTAGAGACCTCCTCAGAGGTGGGTGGAGAAAGTAGAGAGTTAAAAGTAGAGAAGAGACGATGAGGACTGGATGACAAGCTATTGATGAGAGTGACAAAGTAGTCTTGTTTGGCAGCATGGAGGGAGGAATTGTATGTGAAGAAAGCAGATTTATATCGGGTGAATGCTTGCTGAGATTTGGTTTTTACACCACAATCGCTCCAGCGCACGACTATGTCACTTAAGATGTCTGGTGTGGTCAGTCTGCCAAGGCTGTAACGGTCGGGGCCTGATGCTCCGTGTGGTTAGAGGAACAAGTGAGTCCAGTGTGGATGACAGTGGACTGTTGTAGACAGCAGTGGCCAGGTCAGGGCAGGACAGGGGAGAGATTCTGTCATAGAGTTGGTCAGTTGCAGAGTGGAAAGGAGCCGGGTTCAAGTTGTGAAGGTTTCTGCGGGTAATTGTTGGCTGCTTGGAGGGATAGGTGTTTGAAGATGAGGAGACTGTGAAGGTGATGAGATTGTGATCAGAGAGAGGAAAGGGGGTGTTTGTGAGGTTGTAGGGAGTGCAAAGATGGGAGAAAACAAGGTCCAATGTATTCCCATCAGAGTGAGTGGAGGACGTGTCCATTGTGTTCAGGACATTTACTACAAATGACATTTTTCTCTCTTTCTTCCTATTTGAATCTTATAAAACAAAGACATAGATATTCCAATCCCCCTAAATATCCCCCCATCCCCCCGCCACTAATTAAAGTCATAAAATCCATTAGTATAGACTGATGAGGTGAGAAGGTGACACCTCTCCACAATGAGGAGAATGTTCCGGCCCCGGAAGTGGGGGAATGTTCTGCCCCTGAAGGGGTTCATCTGGGTTCCCACACTATATATGTGTGTATCATCATCTGCTGGAGATAAAAGACGTCACAGTGACTATGGAGGAAGAGGACGGACGTGACTATGGAGGAAGAGGACGGACGTGACTATGGAGGAAGAGGACGGACGTGACTATGGAGGAAGAGGACGGACGTGACTATGGAGGAAGAGGACGGACGTGACTACGGAGGAAGAGGACGGACGTGACTACGGAGGGAGAGGACGGACGTGACTACGGAGGAGAGGACGGACGTGACTACGGAGGAAGAGGACGGACGTGACTACGGAGGAAGAGGACGGACGTGACTATGGAGGAAGAGGACGGACGTGACTATGGAGGAAGAGGACGGACGTCACTACTGGAGGAGAGGACGGACGTGACTATGGAGGGAGAGGACGGACGTGACTATGGAGGGAGAGGACGGACGTGACTATGGAGGGAGAGGACGGACGTGACTATGGAGGAGAGGACGGATGTGACTATGGAGGAAGAGGACGGACGTGACTATGGAGGAAGAGGATGGACGTCACTATGGAGGTAAGAGAGACGGACGTGACTATGGAGGAAGAGGACGGACGTGACTATGGAGGGAGAGGACGGACGTGACTATGGAGGGAGAGGACGGACGTGACTATGGAGGAGAGAGGACGGACGTGACTATGGAGGGAGAGGACGGACGTGACTATGGAGGAGAGGGACGGACGTGACTATGGAGGGAGAGGACGGATGTGACTATGGAGGAAGAGGACGGACCTGACTATGGAGGAAGAGGACAGACAACTGGGGGGTTACTGGGTGTATAGACAACATAACATCTTATTACCTCCTCTGCTGCCATTTCCACCTTCGTCTCCTCTCTACTTCCTGACTGTACCTGACATCACTTCCTGTCTACCATAGAGACTTCCTGTCAGTACCTAACATCCTTCCTGGCTGTGCCTGACATCACTTCCTGTCTGTCTTCCATAGAGACTTCCTGTCTGGGTAGAAGTGAGATCCCCACCTTGTGGAGCTCAGAGGAACTGCAGCCCTGAGAAGCATCTGGTAGTGTGACCCCGGCCTTGTGCTGGGTGTGTATGGACTGTACAGACTGTACCTTCCTTCCTTGGTGCAAGATGCAAATTCATCTAGGATCTACCCAGTTAACTATGTAAAGGTTCAGGTCAATCCCACCAACACCCCAAGGTTTAGGGGAGGATCTCTTGGTTTGGAAAACAGGTGGAGACATAAAGGAAGAGCACCCCAGACTAGATGCTGTAGATGGAGACAACGGGGTCACATGCAGGCTAATTGTCCCAAGAGTTGTAGGGAGATGTCCAACTTTACAGCTGCAGTTTGCTGTAGAGATAATGTTAATGGATCAAATTATCCTCCCAGCACTTCAATGTGTCCGTCAGCCAACCGCTTCCATACCCCAAAGTGATGTCCTGCTGGAAAGAGCTTTAATAACCATGTGGCCCTCAGATGAAAAGCCATCCCATGGATACTGTTGTACTTTTGCTGCTGAACTGGGACATGTACCTTGCAGAGGCATGTTGAGGCCTCTTGCTGGTACATGTTTGGAAGGGGCAGGGGTTGTAACAAAGGGCACAAATATTTTTTTGTGTGTTTGTTTGTTGAAGCACAGACAGCATTGTGTCCTGTAGCTGGATAAAGCCAGATGGGCCAGCAGCAGGTTTGGATGCTTAAGCTTGGCTGAACTCAAAGGACAATATAATAACCCTATGCTGGCAGAAAGGGTCAGACGTTTCTGAGTTTACTTCTGTGATGGACACACAGGACTGAGGGCTGCATGTCTTCCTAGAAAGAGGTTACCTGGTGCACAGAGTTGCTGAGACAGATAGCTTCCTGGACACTGGGACTCTGCT